CCGGGGAATAAATCCTTCACTTCACTCCAGATGTGGATGTCAAACAAGGCACCCACAGTTTACAAACGTGAGGCCCACACACGGTCTCACAACCACCCACTTCCTCCCGGTGACCCCAGGGCTGTTCTCTGCCCCAGGATGTCTGACTAGCGGTCGGACCGGCCTGTGGCCACTCAGCCTGTGGCAGGCGGGCATGGGCAGGCGGGCTTGGGCAGGCGGGCACGGGCAGGCCAGACTGTCGGGTCTGAGCACAGCATGGTCTCAATAGGAGCAGATGAAGGGCCCAGGTGCCCACCTGGTTCCCCAGCCGCCCCACCCTGTCCAGGCGGAGGGGGCAGGGCAGGTGTCTCATCCCACACGTGGTCTGGAGGTCCAGCGCCGGGGCCAGCCTGCTGGACAGGGTGTCGTGTGTCCCCACCTGGCGCAGGTGCAAATGTGTGGGGGACGGGGGCGTGCAGAGCAGATTCCTGGGGTCACACCCAGGCTGAGCTGGTAAACACTAGAGACTGTCCCAGAACACGGTCCCTGAGGCCCCGGCATGAGGACGGCCCCATTGTAAAGCAGTCCCTCTCCCCCAGAGCCTCCAGCTCCCCTCACTTCAGGCAGAACCACTGCGGCCCGGCCGGCGTGCTCGGTGGTTGAGCCTCGACCGAGGACCCAGGAGGTCACGGTTCGATTCCCGGTCAGGGCACATGCCCGGGTTGTGAGCTCGATCCCCAGTGTGGGGCCTGCAGGAGGCAGCCGATCCATGATTCTCTCTCATCGTTGATGTTTCTCTCTCTCTCTCTCCCTCTCCCTTCCTCTCTGAAATCAATAACAATATATTTATAAAAAACCCCACTGTGGTCCCCGGTGTGGCCCCTCGGGCCGATGCCGCGCCCTCTCCGCCCACCCCGTCCCCGAGCAGGGAGCCCAGTCTCGCTAAGGACGGCAGGCGCGTTGGCGTCCTGCTCCCGTGCGGCGTGACCAGGAAGAGCCGTGGGATATCCACGCCGGCTCCTTTTAAAAGCAAATGAGCGAAAACCTTCCTGAAAACATTCTTTATTAGCGAGTCTCGTGCACGTGTGGGAAACCTGAACCCAGTCTGTCTGTCAATAATGGCTCACAACCCGCTGACCAGGAAACAGCAGCCATCGGCCAACAGCGACCTTAACAGTTCCAACGCCGGGATGAGGTTAGGGTCCGCGCGGGGTCTCTCGGGGGAACAGGTCCCCGCGGCAGTAAACATTCCCACGCGTGACAAACCACCGCTTCCCGTGCACACACAGAAACCTGGGGACCCGTCTCCAACGCGCTGGTCACAGACATACTGTGGCGAAACAAAACCTGAACAGAAATTACTGTAAAACGACCCCTGAAGAGAATTGTACCCGACGCCTTTCTCCGGGGTGAGTCGCGTGTATTGGTAAGTGTGTTGCAGGGAGGTGTTGCTTCATCCCCGGGGGGTGCTCACTGACGGCGTCATCCCAGCTCCTCGCGCGCTCAAAGCCCGTCACGCCCGCCGCTCACGGCCTGTGTCCTCCCTGCTCACGGCAGCTTCGCGGGGAGAC